TCCGGCGCGGCTCAGAGCCCGCGGTCAGGCGCCGTCTCCCCCTCTAGCGGAAAGCGTCGATGCTGCAGCAGGGAGGCTACGACGCCGCGACAGCGCTGCAGTGAAGGGAGAAGGAGCAACTCCTCGCGTCTGCACCTGCGACAGGGTGGCTAGTACGGCAGCACGAGGGGGGGGGGGGGGGGGAGAGCGTCGGCTATGGCCTCGAAGGCGAGACGGAGGTGTGAGGAGCGGTGCACCCTGGGAAGAACGCGGCAACTGAACCACGCGACCGCCCTGACCAGCCAACCAACCCCCCCCCAACTCCGCTCACCCCCCCCCCCACCCCCGTCAAAAGATCACAGCGGGCACAACTCAACTCACGCGCGCCGAGCCGCGGCGGCGGCGGTGGCGACGTTCCTCGGTGCAGGCAAGCGGCGCGTCCTCAACCTCGGCTCGCAGCGCGGGGGGCGGGCGCTCGCACCCCGCTGGACTCATCATCCGCATCATCATTGTTGTTACTGTGCTTGCTTACCCCACGAAGGCCCCATTACTGGTTTTCAGGAGGGTCCTGCCGAATTGTTAACAAGTTGCAAGATGTTAACTACCTCGCCTGGTATGCAGGAGGTCGTAGGCCTGATGTATATTTCGAGTTTTGCATGTCTCTCTCCCCGTGGCGGCGTGGATTTATCTACGGTGTTTCCCTCCACATTTAGAACCATGCCCTATTCGGCTGCGAGAAATTTCCACGCGATAAGCCACTTCGTTATCATTTGTGGCCTGGTGGCTTCTGAAGAATAGCTATGCACAGCTCAGCGGGCCTCGCCTGGTCAAATAAAAATGTCTAATAGTTTTTAAAACGGCGAGAACGGCGGTGGCAGTGGCGGCGCCACGGAGGAGAGGAATCATCGCGACAGGGCGGGGGGGGGGGGGGCTGCAAGGGGGGGGGGGGCGAGGAAGGGCTAGGAGGGTGGCGGGGGGCACCGTGGGACGACCAACCCCCCGGGGCGGGCAGACGCCACCGCCACTAAGCGAGCGCTCGCTGGCAAGGGGGGCGGCGCATTCCTCTCCGCGAGAGAGAAGCGGACGCCAGAGTCGGGGCGGCCGCCCGTGACGGGCGCTCAAAACAAGCGCGCGCTCTCGTTAATCGGTGAGAGGCGTCTCCGGAGGCTTACTTATTTAATTACTTATTTATCCCAGAGAGCCGTAGGGCTCTTTTTCAGAAGGCTTCCTGCTGCATTGGGTTTTGATTTTAAGATGTTTTCAGTCAATTTATGAAACCGGCGTTTATTATACACGTGGGAGGAAACCGGAGCACCCCGGAGAAAACCCGTATGCGCAAGGGGGCAACACTCGATCCACGTACAGGTGAAATAAGCTGATGGCGATGAGTCCACTTGCTGCACCGCCTTCTCCTGGCGAGCCACGGTATGGCATCTCCACGATGCGCACGAAATAGGGATTTACACACCACATATCTGTGCGATCCACGGTGCTGGATTAAAAAGGCTGCCACGTGCAGCGTAGCCACCACCACTGCCCGGCTAGAAACGCAATGGAGGAGCCACCGATTTTGCCGTCCGGTCATTCCCCATCCGCGGGGTTTGTAACCGGGGAGGGGGGGGGGGCCAACGACTCCCCTGGCAAAACCTCACCCACGGCGCCCCGTCACCGTCCGCACCCTCTACGATGGACCGCGCAAGTGGCACCGGTGGCCACGATCTTAATTTGCAGCGGTCGCCGATGCATCCGAGGCCGTGTATCACAGAGAGGGAGGCCAACGCGCACTGCACCGCGGAGCCTCGCTCGCGCGTCTCACGGAGCTGCTTTTGATTTAGCCGATTCGCGGCACGCACATGACGCCGGCGCGCTCCCTCTCTCGCCCCCCCCCCCCCACCCCCAGCTCGCCCGCCCCCGCAACCCGCCGTCCCCCAAACGCACGCCCCGTGATGCGCAAGCCGGAGCCGTTTTGGAGTTATTAGGCCAATAAGCGCTCTCCACGGCCAAACCCCAACCGCTCCCAACTACTCCCCCCCAAACCCCCCCACCCCCCGCTCCTCCTCCACCCCACGCCCACCCAGACCCCATGGGGAAAGCGGCATCAAAGCCAGGAGCCGCCGAGGTTAAGAGCTAATAATCGGCTATTAGGGGCAAAAAACGTTAGAGGCCTTTTCCGATTTCAGCAGAGGGAGACGTAAAAAAAAAACCGCCAAGCAATGATTTTACAAGGGGATGCAGGAGGACAACAGGAGGAAGTGTGCTCGTGTTGGGCTCCCGCAAACACACCGTGGGCTACCCGGGGGTCCGCGCTGAACCCTGCGCTGCCGTGCAGGTGGCCTTGCCGCGTTGGTCAAAACTCCTCGGACCACGGAGAGGAGGGGGGGAGGGAGAGGAAGGCGAGGAGGGAGGGAGTGAGCGGCACGTTGCTCCACATCGACCGCAGCTCAGCGTCCCAGTAAACTTTTCCGAAAAACCGCAAAAGCCTTATCAAGTTCCCGCAAAATCTTCCCCGCATTGCTCGGACAGCGCGACGCCGAGCGGGGGCCCGGCGAGAGGGAGTCGCCGGGCGAGAGCCCGCACGCAAGGGCACCCGGGTTGGCGCGGCCCGTGACGAGGAGCGGCCTCGGGATTCGCGGCGTGCCCAACGACGCGCCGACGGGGATTATCGGCGAGCGCCATATCGCGATGCCGCTCGATTCCGCCGGACTCCTCTGACGGTTGCCAGCTTGCCTGAACGGGCCGCCACCATCCTTTGATCTTCCCTTCACCACAGAGCGCCAGCCACCCGCCCCCACCCCAACCCCCGCCCCCCCCCCACCCCCATCTCCCCACCCCGACCGTGCCCCCTGTTCCACACCCAGCCCAGTCCCATCCCAGCCTCTCGGCAGGCAAAATTCAGCAGCCTCCGCCTTTCCATCCCTACCCCCACCCACCCACGTCCAACCCGGGCCCAGGACAACTCCCTCTCTCTCTCTCTCACGCACAACGGGCCCTTGCCCAAAGCGATGCTTAAACAAAGAGGCCGATGATTTCTGCCACGGCTGCGCACAGACGCACTGAGAGGCTCCATATGAATAAAATAAAGCAGAGCAGCCTCCGCTCCTCCCCCTCCACCCCCACCCCACCCCCACGCTGTTTTGATGTGCAGCAGCAGCAGCAGCAGCTCCCCTTTCAAGCACGATCCCCTCCCATCCCCTCCCCTGCCACTGTTGTTTTTTCCGTTTACATACAGGCAGTTCATTACAGCGACGGGGACCACGATGTCCACTGGCAGCAGCTGTGTTTATCCAGGACTTGATAACAACTTGTAAAAAAAAAAAGTATTGCCATGCGCGTGGGTGCCCGTGCGCGTGTCTCGGGAGTGGCAGTGCAGTGGTTAGCGCACTGAGCTGCGAACCTGGCGACCCCCTGGATACAATTGTCGGTGAATAGATTAAACTTGTCTTGGGCCTCCCCTAGGTCAACTCAGCCTTAAATGAATACCTGTTTGCGGCGCGTAAAACATCGGCACTGGAGAGACAAAGGCGTCCAGGCGAGGCGTTGGCCACGCCGCTCCCTCGTGCGCTGTGCCGTCTACCAGAGGTGCTCGCTATCACGGCACTTGCTCCAACAGCCTCTGAAGCGCTATATGGGGGCATCTTTGTCTACGCGTGTTCCTGTAAGTTTGAGTGTGTAGATGCAAGCGCGTGCGAGCGGGCCTGTGTGCGTCAACGTGCCTGTGCGCATGCGTTAAATGCAGCATCTGTCTTGAGAGGCGTTTGTTCCCTTCTTGTAGCCAAATATGACAAATTAGCTCTGGGATGTAAAGCCAAGATTTGACAGTTCCAGTTAGAGGGTATAATCTCTGATGAATCATTTGGATCCATTTCACGTCAAATGTTTTAGATTAAGAAACTCAAGACACCCGGGTGGCACGTGTGGTTTCTTTAGAGTTTTTTTACGGCCTTTTTTTCCCTTTCTTTAAGTAATTTTAAACCTCAGGACACAGAAGACACTCAAACGATTGGGTGTTTTAAAAACTAACATGTAAAAAAATGTAACCAATCATGTTTTCTTACATGCATATATATGTGATTTACAGTGAACGTAATCACCACAGTGGAAGGCTCAGGCCTCTGTACGAGTGTCAAGGCTTTGTTAGGGGGATCCTGCATTGGCACGTTCCGCCAATCCCACGTGGCTTCACGTGGGAGGAATCCGGAACACCCAGAGAAAATCCAGGCGCACGATGGGCTCACGCTCAAAACTCGGCACAGACGTTTTCAACGATCCTCCGCTTCTCCGGCCATCTGCCCACCTCACCGCCAAAGCCTGCGATAGCCGGCATTCCCAAGCAGTCTCCCATCCAAGTTCCAGCCAGGCTCAAAAATCCTGCTGAGATTTCCAAACGCCTGACGAGACAGGGCGCATTCGGGGTTCACTAGGTGCCAGACGCACGGGAGAGTCAGCGTGGTTCGTACGCGAGCAGTGGAGTAGATCAGCGCAGCGTGTGAACCTCACTCACACCGGGGCTTTTCATCTGCATCGGTGGCAGCCTGTGGGCACCCTGGGGCCACTTGTGCCCAGGGGCAGTGAGAGAATGGGGCCGGCATGGGGTGAGGAAGGCCTCTTTAAAGAGTTTGACCCGGGGGCCGCGGGGTTGCGGCGGTGGCGGCGGCGGCAGTGGTGGGGGTTGGTTGGCCAGGGAGTTGGGAGGGAGGGGTGGGATGGGGGCAGGGGGGGCGGGGTGGTAGGGGGGGGGGGCGCTGTCAGGGACTCCACTGTGAGGTTGTTAAAGGCTGAAGGATGAATGGGGCCGAGCAGCTCATCATTGGGCACTCGTAAATGTCCTCGCTGCTGCCCTGCTGCCGCCGCCGCCGCTTCACAAAGCAGCGCTGGAGAAACCAACACTTTGTTTAACAGGGAAAATATTTGCTCGGGCGCACAAGGGGTGCGTGGCACGATCGCTCAACGGGGCAGATCGTCGGCGCCGCTCTCCGCACGGCCACCGACAAGGGGGCCTCGCCACGGCTTGTGTTTCTCACCGGATAACTTTGCCGGACCGCCGCCAGACCGGAGTAGGTGGTGCGTGACGAGTAGTCGCAGTAGCCGCAGTCGTAGCGATGGCGGATGTGGTGTGCCGGGTGTGTATTTTATCCGGCCGGCTCGCTGACCCAGACGGAACCGGCTGAGTTGGAGCCGGCTACTGCTGTGAGAGACAACGGAGCTTCACGCTCCCTTCAACAGCCAATTAATTAATCACGTAATTAATTCGACTCGAAACAGCCCGTTATCATTCCACCGCTGAATGGAGGCCTCCCCGTGCCGTGCCATTCGTGGGGGGTTGTTTGACCATACTTCACCGCTAACTCACAAGTGCAATTTAATTTAGACGCGATTCCGGGACGAGGCCAACATCAGCGACAAGCAATCTCTGCACCGATCGTGGGGCCGCTCCCTGCGCCAACCGGCACTGGCCAGCGTGTTGAGTGCGACCAAACTACTCCCGTTACCGCGCGAGTCGATCGACCTCGAGCTCTGACCTATCTATCACATTTCAATCTTGATTTGAAGCTTTCGTGACTGCAAGAATCCATACTCTTTGATTCTTTCGGTAGAGTCGCGTTGGTAAAAAAAAAATAATACCTACGTTTACAGAAGTATTAATGCGCACAAAATTGCAGTTGTGAAAAGAAACATCTGAACGATTTTTTTTTAAGTAATAAAAAAAAATCTTGAGACGTGATTAAGGTTCACCGATGGACGCGTCCAGTAATCAGCGCCCGGGGCTCGTGGTTGGCGAAGAGGGCAACGCGACGGCGTCTTGGCCGCAACGTGATGCGGAACCGCGACGGAGAGTCGTGAGCGGCATGCCCTTCAGCCCGCTAAACAAACACGCAGATTGTGTTTACGCTCATCAGGAATACTGACACGACACGAGCAATTAACCAATCTTCTCCAACGTCAACACTCCCCAACTGCATTAGGGATCATCTCCACACACGGCGTTTATCCGCCGCACCGCGATAATTAACATTTAAATGAACGCGTAATGAGATGCCGTCGCGTTTAGACGATTTATAAACACGTCGAGCAATAACGATAACAACGGGAAATAATCCAGGGAGAGAGTGAGCTGCTCAATCGAGTTCCTGAAAAAGCTCGCCGTGGCAGGCACTGGGTCATTCACCGTGGCAGGCACCGGTTTATTCACTACGGCAGCTTCTGGCTCATTCAGCCGCAGGCCCCGGAGTATTCACCGTAGTCATGAAGCTGCTGCGTGTGCAGCCGTGTGCCATTGTGGTACTCGGCCACCGCTCGCCTCTGCCGTCCCCGCGCAGCACGTGGAGACCACGAGCGTGCGCCAGCGTTTCCGCCTCGCAAAGCCCGGCCAGGCGACGGCGGCACCGGCACGTGCTTCTGGTTTCGCCCCGGCGATGCCCTCGCGCGATAGCTAACGCGCTAGCGCCACCCGGCACCGGCCCCTTCCACCCGCGCACGCCCCGTTCTACACCGGCGAGTCTCGTGCCCGCGCGCCTGTGCCCGCTCCGAGCCCGGGCGGACTAATCCGCTGTCGTGGTGCCTGCTGCCGGTCAGCCGGCGCTAAACGCTCGGCATGACGCGAGGCGGAAGGAGCGTTATTGGAAGCAGATGCGCGGCAGCGTCGGAGCGCGCCGGCGCCCTGTCGGACCGATCGGGCTGCTAGCGGTGCCGAGAGCGCGGCACGGCGGCGCGGAGCAGCAACGTCCCCGGCACCATCGCCGGTCGTCATCGGCGGCGGCGCCGGCGAGACTTTGGCATTAGTAACGTTAGAAGGAACGGAGTCCGAAGGCGTTGGGTTGCGGCCCACCTCCGCTGGCCGCCCCGAGCCCGTGGTGCGATCCTCAACGTTTCAAGCGTCAGGGATGGTGCCCGGACCTCCCACAGGACAGCCACTGTTGGTTGGCCTCTCACAAAGCGGTAGTCATTTTATGAGCCCGAGAGAGATGATAGGTCCCCGGGAACGAAATACCAACTCACGATCTGCCCCTGGGAAATTCTCCGTAGCGTGGGCGGCGACAGCTACAGGACAGCAAACGATGAGTAGAGAGGGTAAGGGTATGGGGGGTGGGGGGGGGGTGAAGGTGAGTGGCACTGCCAGCCACGGTATCTGTGGCGGACTTACGGGCGGCACGTAGGCGAGCGGGGATTACCTTCTCACATCGCGTCCGCCTAATCCGCACCGGCCGGCAGGCGCGCGCGGGCGAGCGAGGGAGGACGTGGGGGGGAGGGAGGGACGGAGGGATAGCCCCCAGCCCGTGCAAATTACCCCAGCGCCTCGTACTTTTAAAGGGAGGGGAGCCAATTACGCTTCATTAAAGGCTTTGTCACCAAGCAGGGAGCGGAAAGAAGCAGCCACGACCGGCAGCCCCAGGGAGGAGGAGGGGGTGATGGGCACGGGAAGCAGTGGGGGTGGTGTTTAAGGATGGTGGTGGGGGGGGGGTGTTCTCGTTCCGTGTTGACGACACTAATCCCGTGTTGTATCTGCTAAGCCGGCGCTGGACACCGGGAGCCGGGCCCCAAAGTCGAAGGCGTCGCGCAGCTCCCGCACGTTTTACCCTCGTCGCTGTCGTCGTCGTCGTCGTCGTCATCGTCGTCGCGGTCTTGAGCCTTCCACAGTCGCGATGGCACATTCTGACGCCCGTGCTCTCTGAGCCGTTGCAACTCGAGGCCCCGGAGGCACCGAATTAAATTTTGTTCACTCGCAGAGTTGCGTAGAAGCAGGAGGGAAGCGGCCCTCGGTCGTGACGCTGACCCCTGTCTCCGGAGGTCAACTCTCGAGCAATATCAGGAACGCTGCTGGTGCTATCGGTTCTTAAAAAATCCAATTTTGTTACATATTTCTCAGAGCGAGCTTGTAATAGGATGACGAACTAAGACACATGTTATTTGTACGTGGAGCCAGAGCGGAGGTGGTCTGTTTATACACACACACTGTTTATTACCCACGATGTTCCCCAGCAACATTGGTGCCCTGCGCCGTTAGGAGCCGGATTGATTGGCGAGTGCATTTTTTTTTATTTGCTTTGAGAGCGATTGGCAACGCGCCTCCCTTTGCCAACACCACGCGCTACTACTGCTGCCCCGCGTGAATCTAACGCACGGCAATCCGGCCCTGCAGGTAAAACAAAACGTCGATTACTGGGTCCTTAACTCAAGTGATTGTTTAATACTTACATTAAGCGATTTCCTCTATAATCTCAAAACTGCCGATGACATCACTCTCCCCCGAGCGCGGAATGAGTCAAGGACCGTGGCGGCGCTGCAGACGTCACCGTACAGTGAGTTTGCGCGCTTGCACGAGGGACAGCGGCGCCCTGGGCTCTCTCGCTCACGAGTCTCCCCGCTCGCTCGCCGACTGCAAGCAGGCACGTGACTCGCAGTAGCCACAGCCAGAGTGAGAGGTGTACAGTGGACGTGGTGAGCCGGGTGCGGAAATATTTTCTTCTATATGGCCAACCCCGCTGAAATGACGCCCAGGGAAACACTGTTGAGCAGTTGCAAAAATTGCGCAACTTCGCAAACTTCAATAATCGTCCGGAGGGTCATTTCGAGGGTAATTATCTCGAGTTTAAGAATCTGCGTCAAAGGCTTGACACGTACATGGTACTGAACGCACCGTCACCATCCCGGTCTGAATGATTACGTCAGCTCCGTCCGCATACGTCCGACACCACGGGATTTTATGAGCCCTATTTATTTATTTTATTTTAGACTTACAGATCTCCTGAAACACTCAGGTAACGAAGAATACTTCACAATGATATTAATGAGTGCCCACATCTGAAGGGTGTTTGACACGGACGTCGAAAACCGTGGAAATGTCCCTCCGTCGCCTCTCACCCTGACAAACTGCCCTCTCAGTGTCTGCCTCTCACACCGAACATTTGCTGAACTGCACTGACTCCGGAGTGATCGCGCACGACACTTCTTTAACAGGACACACAGCCTGCTGATGAGACTCGGGGGAAGTCAAAACAAGACGGAATATTTTGCAACCCAAACGAGCGATGTTGACCGACGACAGCGCTGGCCCACTCGGGCTGACGGAGCGCAAGGGCACTGGAAAAGTTTTCGACAAAAAAATCGGACGGTACAAGACAAGGAAATCAGACGCTGGGTGTCCACGCACAAGGGCAGAGGGAGCGTCGCCAATAGTGGCACGGGCGCGTTGGAGAACACCCACCCCCCCAGCGACCCACCAACGCTCAGCAGCTACTCCAAGAAACCCTTCACTCGCAAGCCCCACGGAGGCAACGGTTTATTATCGTTTTACTTTTTAAGTGGAGAGTTGGGAAAAATGTAAAGCGCATGAGCAAACAATGACTGATTTATACAATGGGTGACACATAAATCACGTGTGTGTGTGTGTGTGTAGTGGGATGACTCGCGCGGTAAGATCGCAACTCCTTGGTGATGGGACTTCAAAAACACATTAGGCGTGCGCCCCTTCCTTAAGTGTCTCCTCAAACTGCATGTCCGCCCCTCCTCCTCCGAGCATTCGTGCGCGCACGTGCGTGCGTGTGTGCGTGCGCGTACGTGAGTGTGTGCGCACACATCTAAACTAAACTATTTTTTATTTTACCTGGTAAGGCCCACTGAGCCACATGGCTCTGTTTCAGAAGCGACCTGGCCATCACAAATGACAGCTCAACGAAGTGGCTTATCGTGTGGAAATTTGTCGTGGCAGCCAAACACTCTGAACTGCACGTTTCTAAACGTGGAGGGAAAAACTAGGTCAACTCCTAGGTCAACTCAGCCTCAAACGAGGTACATGGTGCCGCGGGTAAAACCTCGGCACTGGGACGCGCGTGGTACTGACCACACCGCCCCATCGTGTGCCATGCAGGCTTTAATAGGTGCTCGCCAACAACCCTTGCCCCAACAGTCTACTTGTCTACACGGGGGATCTTTGCCTGTATCTATACATAGTCTGCGGGAGCGGTGGGGTTAGTGATTATCGCAACGCACTAGGAGAACCGAGTTCGATTCCCAACCGTGACGAACCTATCGAGTGAAACCAAAACCTCTTCTCCGGTGCTCCCCTGGGCCGACCGGGGCCTGTCGACGAGTGCCGCCTCGTGCGCCGTGCCGACCTTAACAGGTGCTCGCTAACAGCACTCTCCCCGGCCATCAGCACGACTACATGGGGGGTTGGGGAGTCTTCGTCCCTGTTAACGCTGCGACCCGCGTCGACACACGAGCAAGGCTGTCAGGCGCGCTCATGGGCGGGGGGGGCGGGGGGGGGGGGGGGCGGCGGCAGGGGCGGGAGGGGGGGGCGGCGTCAGAGCGGCGTCAGCGCGACGCGAGAGGACCGGTTCGATCGCTGTGAGCCCCCACGTGCGATCGCACCGCGTCTCCGCTGTCACAGCCTTCCCCGGGATCAGCACGACCACCGCAAGAATGCTTTTAACACAATAATTGGGCTCGTTCTGCGCAGGGCCGCCGCGGTGCAGCGACGGCTTTTAATCTCCCGTCACAAAAATAAAAAAAATGGATAATGAAGAGACCGTTTGTGCGTTTAGCGCACCGCGGTGTTTGTGCACGGCGGTAATAACAGGCCGCGATGAATAAAATATCCAGACTCCTTCCCTAAAACATTACACGTCTCGGCAGCCGTCCAGCCGGAGCAGATGCCGGAGCAGGGGAGGGGGGCCCGGAGGGGGGGGGGGAAGGGGGGGCAGGGGGGGGGTGCTTCAAAGCAGCCGCAGTCAGTGGGTTCAATCACGGCAGCATCGTTTAGGAGGAGCTGTCAGATAAATGCCGCCTGCCTGCGTTTAATAAAGCACTTACCCAGGGCGGCCTCCAGGCAGATCAGCAGCAGCGGCAGCGTAAGACGTCCTTAGGCACACAGTGATGACTTGTGTAGGGGCGGGGCGGGGGAGACGTGACGCAGTCGGTGGGGGGGGGGGCAGGGGAGCGGGGAGTTGGGGGGGGGCAGCGTCGGGGGCGAGAGGGGTCGGTCGCTGTGACGAGTTGGCCGGCGCTACGACGCTCCGAGAGGTCATCACCTGCCCGGACGTTCAAGGGGTTGGGGCAGGGTGGGTGGGTGGAGGCTGCGATCTGCTGGCGGAGAGGGAGGAAGGGGGGTTGGGGGCGGTCAGCCACCGTGATTAGAGAATGCTCGAGTAAATAAATAAATAACGAGCGTGTAAAATAGGGACAGCTGCCTTCCGAGACAGCAGCTCCCAACACCTGTTGGGCGGGAGAATGGCCATAGTCCCTCACTGATTGATCGCGCAAATCTCGGGCGGGCCACGCCGGGTACGCCGGGCCGCTCCGTCCCGCCCCGGCTGCTCAGCGCTCGCTCGCTCGGCTCGGACGGCTCTCGCCCCCCCCCCCACCGTCGCTCTCCTCCCGCCCGCCCGCCCGCCCGCCCGCCCCTCACTGCCTCTCTGGCGCCCGGGCAATAAAAGCGCAGAATAAGATAAAGGAGAGAAATGAAGCGAGTGTGGAGCTATTCAGAGATGAGCGGCAGAAACAGAGGCGAGAATGTAATGACACGTAATCCCATCTGCTGCCGGCCACGTCTAAAGCCCAGCGCGAATCCCCCGTGGCCAAAGGAAATGGCCCTTTAAAGAATAGCGCTCACAATCAGGGGGCCGCGCGAGCAACGGAGAGGGCCGCCGGAGGGATGAACTTACAGCGCCGCTTGGTTAGGTTCATCGCGGACGCCGGGGGGCGAGCGCTTGGAGAGACGGGCGGGCGGGCGGGCGGGCGCTGGACTGAGGGGGCTCCAAGCTGCCCTTGTAAAGGAAACTGTGGGGGAGTGTCGCGCGAAGCCGTGGAGCGCTGCTGACCCTCGCTCCCCACACGCATGGCCCAACGGCCTCTGGCGGCGGCGGCGTGATGCGGTGCAATGCCTGCGAGCACCGATTCGACTCCACGCATGCGGAGGATCGGTTGCAGAGTGGTTAGCGCGATGAGCTTATGAAGCCGGCAATCCGAGTTCGATTCCCGGCCGTGGCTAACACCGCTGGCGAGCGGA